TATATACCCATATGTATTGTCACGCGCTCCCGTGAAATAAATAATTCGCGCGAGCACGGATCAAACAAGGATGCCGAAATCGCGTACGATTCCGGGGAGGGAAGGTGGCAGCCCTCCGGGATGCGTCCCTCCAGCGACCGACGAGGAGCGGTGATGCGAAACTGGGCGCCAGACGTGCTCCAGGGCACGTCACCCGCGAGACGGAACGACGGCGCGATAGCGCGAATGAAATCTTTAAACGCGACGACACTCGACCTTCAACCACCGCTCCCGAGGTCGATCGCACGAGGGCCGGCCGGCTCTACCTAACGGCAGAGGGGCAGGGCGAGGCCAAAGGGGCGAAGGGATGGCGCGGGGCGGGCGAAAGAATTCGTACTCCGAATTAGTAACAATAACAAATAATAGTCAGGTTTATTGGCCGCCTGGAAAGGCGGTAAGAAACGGCGGAGAAAAGAACAAAAAAAAGGATAACACAGTTCGATAAAGAAAATAATGGACGTGACGCGACTGATTCAACGCTAATAAACGCGGATAAGCCGACGGCGCGATGAATTCCCGCGTGCGAAAGAAAAGACAAGAAATAGGCGCGAAACTCGACCGGAAATAAAAAGAAACGCATTCCAAGGTAGTCGGCGCGATTGTACAGTAACGGACGGAGCTCGGTACTACGCGCGTACCGAGGTCTAACGACAACACATGTTTCCGCGAAGGTCGATCGTAAGTGTACGCGTCGGATACGCGCATGGAAACGAAACCAGTCGAGAATTGACTCACGTCGATGCGCAATGAAATCGCGCGCGATAGCGCAATACCGCGCGACGCACGACTCTCGTTATTCCGAGAACTCACACTGCACACACTTACTCTAACGCTCGCGCGCTCAGGCGCGAGGGCTTTGCGGCGAACTCGCGACGACGATCCCCGGGTGGTTCGATACGCGACTCGCGACACTCCCGATCGCTCACGGCGGATTCGAGGAGAGTCCTCGCACTTGAGGACGGACGC